AATCATTCATAAGGAGAGATTGAGCTGAAGTTTCCATGTACCACCACCCGTATTTAGGTTTACATATTTGCTTTTCTGTTCCTCTTTTTTCAAGAGTCAGTGGAAACCGTTGATTGAACAGCTTCTCACCAACAGTTCTTGTTTTATTAGCATACTTCTTTCAACCCTGACAGCATCCAGGCCCCTTGCTGTCTGTTTGTGTCTCTCTTGGCCAAGCAGCTTATGGTGTCTCCAGCTACAAGCGGTTGATTAATCATTGTGGTTTAGCATTTCAATATCTCCTGCTGAGAAAGCAGAAAAGTTGTGAAGAAAGGAGGAGACGGCAGTGTTTCCATGCTGGATTGTTTTGCATGCTTCACTGCAGCTCTGCAAGAGGCGTGCAAGACCTCAGACTGGTTTGGAAGTCCAATTTCCAGACCTCATGTTCCCTTCTCTGAACCAGGTGAGCAACTTCAGACCACTCTCAAGACCCTTTCATTGCATGTATCCATAAAATAGATTTCAGTTGTCTCTATCATTATAAACGATTTGTTCCCGTGAGCTCACAAAACACTAAAGCCCCTTTCACACAGCACGTTGATCCCGGGAAATTGCCGGGAAATTGCCAGAATGCCTTCTGTGTGAATGCAAACACGACCCGGGATTGATACCGGCATCGATGCCGGGTTGGGGACCTAGTAACATTGCCAGAATCAGTCCCGGAACGTGAGCTGTGTGAACAAAAGCCAGGAGCAATGCCGTAAAGGGTGTGTTATAGTGATGACGCTCGTGCCATCGCGCGACTCTGTTGCTCTTAGAAGAAAGTTTGTGTTCGTCTTCAACAAAGAAAGGATGAACAAATGTCTGCAAACTGGAACGAAGCAGAAACCAGGAGCTCCTCACTATCCGCGCTGAAGCTGAGATCGTTCACCAGCTTTGTGGAACGGTATGTGCGTGTACATGTTTTCGACGTGTGCGTTACACGTCTCATCCCGATGTCATGTGTCTTTCCGGGATCTTTACGGGTTGTGTGTGAACGCACTCACAGATCCCGGCGAATCACTGGCGTGAATGAACCAAAATCAAACAATCCCGGGACAAATGCCGGGTCCGTGTATTTTCCGGAATCTCTGTGTGAAAGGGGCTTATGTGACATCAGTGGGTTAGTTAGAATATTTGAAGCATCGAAAATACATTTTGGTCCAAAAATAACAAAAACTACGACTTTATTCAGGACTGTATTGTCTTCCAGTTCTGTTGTCAATCCGTGTTCACGAGTCTGCAGTGATGCTGATGATGTAAGAAGGGAAAAAAGACTCTTGCAAGTCTTCCTCTATGTCGAAATCCTTAGACATGTTCGCAAAGATTACTTTATTTACAGCGTGTGTCTCCCTCAGACTGTAAACGAAGCTCGGGCACACCAGATACACGTCAGCCGCGTCTTACGTCACCAGAGTCACTGAACGCGGATTGACAACAGAACCGGAAGACAATACAATGCTGAATAAAGTCGTAGTTTTTGTTATTTTTGAACCAAAATGTATGCTTCAAAACATTCTAGCTAACCCACTGATGTCACATGGACTACTTTGATGAAGTCTTTATTTCCTTTCTGGACAAGGACAGTTTACCGTACATACATTTTCAATGGAGGGACCGAAAACTCTCGGACTAAAACTAAAATATCTTAAACTGTGTTCCGAAGATGAATGGAGGTCTTACAGGCTTGGAACGACATGAGGGAGAGTCATTAATGACACCTTTTTCATTTTGGGGTGAATTAACCCTTTAAGAGTTGATTCTTTTTAAGACAGAGGGTCAGAAGGAGTCACTTTGAAGGACATATTCAGTAAGGAATCCCCTTCTTTTTATTCAGCTTGACTACTACTTTATTCAACTGATTTCTTTTACATTAACACAGTGTGTCCAATTTCTCAAAATATCAAAACAACAGAATAATTTTTCCATAATGTAATTTTCCATTCACACTGAATTTTCAGCTTAGGCTAAACACCCTTGCGGCGGCCATAGGATACTTCACTGAAAGATACACCACCAGGGAACCAAACAGGATTTTCCACATGGGAACTAAAAGAGATTATTTTAGCATCTAGCTTATTCAGCATTCTGAAAATCGTTTTTTAACCCTTAACTGCATAGAGGCGATCAATACGATAGGCCTTCGTTTAAAGTAGGCATGAAATGGAAGTTGCTTGCGATAGTCTTTCCTTCCCCATTGTGACCGTCACAGGAACTTATACTTTAAAGATTAAAGATGTCTTTTTTTTAAATGATGAGATGCATGGATAAATAACTTATAAGGAGAATAGAAAGGAGATGATATCTCATCTGTGTCCGTTTCACACACATAAAAAATGACACTGTCCTAGGATTTCGGCAAAGCATGCGTCTTGAGGCTGTCAACAACAAAGCTGAACAAGACAGCTAAATGACCCAAAAGGTTGGAGGGCAGCACACTAGATACATCCCAGCCAAGTTTGCTCAGTAATGTGAGGAGCTGACTGCTAGTACGCCAGTTCAGGAATGGGCAGAGCTGACGGTGTATAAAAGTCGGCCAACTTTTTGGGACTGAGCAATCAAAGAACAACAAAAGTGAAGCTTGGAAGAAAAAAAGGGGCCTTAGGGATGAAGTAAGCAGAAGCAAGTTGTGAAAAGAGAATGGAGGACAAAGATAAAAAAAAAACACAAAGTCAGAGAAGTGGAAGTTATGGGATGAAAAGAATCAGAGTTGTGAGCAGAAATGATAGGCTGACAAACTATAAAAGAGCATAAGACCTTGAAAATATTTATTGGGATTTTTAAGGCGTGCAAGTCTGGAGGTCTACACCTGCATGATAAGGAACTTGGAACTTTACATGGAAAAAAAGGTTTGGCATAAACACAGCTTTGATAAAATAGCTCACTCCTGTTATTGAGAGAACCTGTTCATGCTTTAAAGTCGTTGCTTTGGTCTCCTGCTCCATCTTGTGGCTCAAATGGTGCACCTTCCAAATGCTCACTGTGAACTGAACCACATAGTCTGCAGAAAATGCCAAATAATTTATTTTATTTTAAAATATATATTTATAGGATATTCTAATATATACCCCAATGAGCTAAAACATTATGACCACCTGTCTAATATGCTGTTGGTCCTCTGCATGCTTATAAAACTGAAGGTGTCCTGTGTTGTATCTGTCAGCAAGACATTAGTAGTAAATCCTTCAAGTCCCCGTGGGTTGTGAGGTGGAGTACCATGGATCGAACTTAATCCCACAGATGGAGGCTTGGTCAACACCTTGAACTCTACATCATGTTCCTCAAACCATTCCTGAACAACGTGAACAGTGTGTCAGGTGTATTATCCTGCTGAAACAGGACACTTCCACCAGGGAAAACCCGTCTGCAACAATGTTTAGGTAGGTGGCACTTGACAAATTCATGTATACATCCACATGAATGGCTGGCTGGACTCAGGGTGATCACACTTCAGACACATTCAGTTCTGAAGCTCATGTTATAGATGGCGAACAGGGGTCAACATAGGCACTACGTGTGAACGCTACGCTACGTGTGAATCACTGTTTTGTGACACATTCCTCCCAAAACATCATTAAAATTGTGTGTGACTTGTTCCACTGTAGACCTTCTGTTGGCTCGGACCAGACGGGATAGCATTCATTACCCTCATGCATCGCTGAGCCTTTGACACCAAACACCCTGTTGCCGGTTTGTGGTTTGTCCCTCCTCAGACCCCTGTTGGTAAGTTCTCACCAATTCTGACTGGGATCAACCCACAAGCCTTGCCGTTTCAGAGACACTCTGACCCAATAGTCTTGCCATAACAATTTGGCGCTTGTCAAAAACGACCTTTATTGCTGCCCATTTCTCCTGCATCCAACACATTGATTAAAATAACTGATTGTTTGCTTACCATCTAATCTATGTGGCCTTGTTAGAGATGATCATATTTGCATATTTATATAATTTATAGAAATTCCACACATAACTGTTACACAATAGGGGCAATTAGAGACTAATAGCTTATCTAAATGCCACTAGTGTGAAAATGATGTGCAGAATTTCTGATTTAAATTATAAAACACATTATAAATTTAATGAAATGTGTATTTAAAAGAGAGAGAAACACATGTGGTTGTGAACACTGCATGAAGGTAAAAAAAATAAATAAAAAATCGGTATATTTGCTTTACATTTGTACAGAGCCGGCTGCATTTTAAAGTAATTTGTTTGAAATATAGATTTTCTAAAACAGTGTTTTGACCTCCTTTTTAAAAATAAAACAATAATACTAAAGGCAGACATGTATATATACTTAATGTATATATACTTAATATATATATAGTATAACATTCTAATACTATTTCTTTTTAATTCGTTGCCAAGGTTTCTGTGTGGTGGTGTCATGTGCTATGACGCCTGACAGAACTGATTCATTTGAACAAATCGGTTCGGTTCAGTGAACCATTTTAAAAAAACGATTCACCAATTCCTTTGAATCATCACGTTCATCAGTAACAGCTTCACAGTTTATTTGTAGCGCTTTTCACAATACATATTGTTTCAAAGCAGCTTTACAGAAAGTGCATTTCAGAAATGTAGGCCTACATGTTAACTGTAGGCCTAATCACATTTATTTAGTAAAATCTTTTTCTCACTTAATGGAACCTTTTCACAGACTGTTACTCATCAGCATTGTAAATCCTGCAAATGTACATTTATATTGTCTTTGCATCAAATTACAAAAAAACTTTAAATAATTTAAAGTTTTTCTTTTGTTATTTGAGCATGTTGGAACACAAAAATATATTTAATGTAGTCTCTCATTCACCGCTAGAGAATTTTACCCAAATCAAGGTAAAAAAAAAAAACAAAAAAAAACAAAAAAAAGTTGCTGTCTTAAATTTTTAGGTACAATGAACTTAAAGTACAATTCAAAAACTAACAAAACTCTAACTAATTACAGCTCAGCAATTCAAATCAAATGATTCGCAAATCAGTTCAACTGAATTAAATGAACCGGATCATATACATGATTCGCGAATCACACAAGCTGACACTTCCTGTAAGCACCGCCTCAAACAAACAAAACAAGCAACTTAGTTTCCCAAACAACCTGGAGAGAAGGCCGCAGTGAAGATAATCCACTGCCGCTGACATATAAAACCCTTTTATAATAATTGCGTGTCTATAATCGAGGAATCGTGTGTTTTAACACAAATACTAGAGCTGTGAGCTGGTAATTAGGGCTATTATGGCGTCCAGCTACAACGCGAAAGAGGAAGACGGTCATCTCTCCGGATCCGCGGGGCTCGGCGGAACCGCCATCCGGACCAGAAAGCCCGACAACACCGCCTTCAAACAGCAGCGCTTGCCGGCATGGCAGCCCATCTTGACCGCGGGGACCGTGTTGCCCGCATTCTTCGTCATCGGCCTCATCTTCATTCCCATAGGAATCGGCCTCTTCGTGACGTCCAACAACATCAAAGAGATCGAGGTTTGAGCCTGTTTTAGTGACTGTTTTAGTAGACTCGGACGTAATGGGGTCTAATATAACCGCGTGTTAAGCATGTTTCTCTGGTTTACAGATTGAATATACCGGGACTGAAGTGTCCAACCCGTGTTTTAACTGCTCTCAAAACTTCAGCTGGAACAGCACGACTCCATGCAAATGTGTCCTGTCCTTCACTCTCGACCAGCCTTTCGAGGTGAGTGAGTGACCTGCCCATTATGCGGCATTCCTTTTCAAGGGTTGGTTTGGCCAAATTACAACTTTTAGCTGTACTATGAGGAAACGAAAGGCCTTGGTTTTCCTGACTGATAACATCGGACATGCATAAGGTTCTCAGTTTAGTAATTTATGGTCAGACAGAAGATGTTATATATAGAAGGTGTTTTCCTGGTGGGTTAATCGATGAGCTTTCATAACAATGTCTGTTGACGCCTGTAACTTTCTGTCCTCAGAGTAATGTCTTCATGTACTATGGCCTCTCAAATTTCTACCAAAACCATAGACGGTATGTGAAGTCCAGAGATGACAGCCAACTCAATGGAGACCTTAACTCACTTAAGGTATTGCACGTATCTATCTGTCTTGTCACTCTTACTGCATGAATGTATCAGAGCTTTGGTGATAGCAAATATTTTGTTACGATACTAATTTCTCACTAGAAATTATATCAAAAGCGGAAAAAGTTAGCCCAAAAAATTTACATTTCCACTCAAACTGACCACTAAACACAACTTTCAGATGACATTTGTATTTTTTGTTTTGTTTAACTGTTATGGAACTGAACGCACAGGATTGTGGTATATAACAGGCAGCGAAGGACGCATCAATGCTGCTGCCTACAAAAATCAATCAAATAGATGAAGGGATCTCAGTTAGAGATCTCAGCACGTTGTGTCTGAGCCCAGCCCGGCACAATAAACGTAATTATAAAGCCTAAACCAGATTTAAACCCGAACATTTTTTAATACGTGGGTCGTTATAACTGATATTCTAATATTAAACTTTCTATGTTACTTTCTCCCGCCTGCAACATTAATGTTTTGTCCCGCTCCCGCCCGCAAAAAGACCTTTTTCTGTACATCCAAATACTTTCAAGTTAGCCTACGTGTCGCCACTTTACACATCAGCATAAATGCTCCTGATAAATTATTTGTTATTGAAGTATTAACACACAAACCACTATTAATTTAACATGAAAGCAAGCAGGCTACTACGTGCATGGTTTGGCATGACTGAAATAATGGTCTGGCTCCCTTAATAATTCCTAAAAAGATGACAGTTCATCGCGATCTCACACATCTGTTATCATCAATGAATCTTACCAAATATCCACACTTTGTTTGTTATAATTAGAGGATTTTCCAGCATACAGAATTCAGCTCTGAACAAAAAGTCCGTTTTGAGCGGTGAGGAGTCCATCTTAAATGTATCTGATTGGCCCATTGCATACACATATGACTGTGATTGGCTACATCGATAAATATAGACAGCCGTAGTTTAAATGATGAAGCAAATAGAAACTAAATAGTTCACCTAATTTTGAGCTCAGCTGTCTGACGTGTTTGACAGCATAGTATGCTTCGCCAGCGCTAACAGATGTCAAGACTGTCAACAAGCGCTGCATGAGAGCAGGATTTGACATTGTGGGTTTAAAACATTTCCACACCTATTATAGCCCTGTCAATCACCGACAGACCTTGTCGCTTTTAATGAACTTTAAACTGCGTGACATTGGAAAAGCTATCAGCTGTTACAACAAGTCTACTGCTTCCTGTATAAAAGACGTACTTGATTGTATGTTATATATGAAGCTCAAAGCATATCTTTATATTTCAGGAGCCAAGCAAAGAATGTGAGCCGTACCGCGTTAATGAAAAGCCAATAGCCCCGTGTGGAGCCATTGCTAACAGCATGTTTAATGGTAAGACCTGGACCTGAATACTTGCCATCGTGCGACACCATCTCCTCAAGAGTTTTAGTATCGATTGTCTCTTTTACTCTTTGCTTCAGACACATTGGACTTGTTTTACATTGATCCCAATGGAACAAAAACCCCGATTCCACTGATCAAAAAAGGGATCGCATGGTGGACGGACAAACATGTGAAGTTCAGAAATCCTGCTGGCAGTAATCTCACTGCTGTTTTTATTGGTATGATTCTATATGCAGACTTACATGTATACATATGTTTTGTCCATATCTTGAACTAAAACTCTCCTCATCTCCAGACACGGCGAAGCCGGTCAACTGGCGCAAGCCTGTTTATGAGCTAGACACTGACTCGGAAAACAACGGCTTCATAAACGAGGATTTCATAGTATGGATGCGTACGGCTGCCCTCCCCACCTTCAGAAAGCTGTACCGCATCATCCAGAAGAAGAACAACATGACGCCCACACTGCCCAGAGGAAACTACACCCTGGAAGTCACCTACAGTATCCTTGCATTGCTTACCTTTAAAACATGAAGCTCTGCAGAGCGCGATCGTTAACTGTGTGAGTGTGAGAGAGAGAGAGATCAACAATATCAAGTCATACTCTGATAAATTTTTTTTTTCCTGTGAAAATATTTTCTTCATGCCTTAAAATAGCTTGAATGTAACTTTACACCCTTGTTTCATTTAGTATACCCGGATCCATGAATATGCAAATTAGTCACTCACTCTAGCTCAAAATAATAGCAACCGTATCCACTCGGTCAGCTTGTAGCAAATGCTACGTCTACACAGTGGCAAGAGGAAATATTGGTTTAGTTCAGCCAAAATGATTTGGAAGAATCCTTTGACCGGATTGGTTACAGGTTTGTGACGTTAGGAAACGGCAGCGGTTTTATGCCTTGTTCAGATTACACGATTTTAGCACGATCCGTTTGATGTAGGGTTTCGTGGGGATTCGTAAACGACAACGGGCGTCGGGACGAAAGATTCGATCGTATCATCTCGTATAATGTGTCATAGCGGGCGACAACCTACGTCGCGTCTGCGATGCTTCACGACAAAAAGACTAGCATGTTTAATTCTTTAAACGGTCGTCCACGACGGTTCCGTCACATGTATGAGGTTGACCAATAGGAGCTCGGAAGCTTTTCCGTACACAACTTTCAAAAATGGCGAAACGAAAGAGAGACGATGGCGCCAACGTTAAAACTAAAAGTAAAAATATACAAGAAAACAATATTTTACCTCAAGTTCTCTTTGGAGAATTGACCGCTCATACTGTCCTCTTCGAGCAGGGTTCAAGTCTCACGCAATTGCCGTGAAACACACACAATTCAACCAGTTCACACGCTCGCACGCCCGTATATTTCTTGCGCTGAAAAGGCAATGTCGAGCAATCCACGAATGTGTCCATTTTCGTTTTTTCTTTCTTTTTTTCTGAACACAGGACAGCCAATACAACACTCACCGCTTCATCCATTGTTTGTTTACGTTCGTTTCCGGAAGTCACTCGCTACTAGTTTCGCCTTCTCGATGACATCACACGCGCCATTTAAGACAGCATGCGATGACTGGTCAGGAAGCAACGTGTAGTCTGACCTGCATCTTGTCCACAACACAACGAGATTTTAGGAGTCAAAAATCGCATAATCTGACACAGTGACTATCGTAACAGACAAAAAAAAAAAAACGTGTAATCTGAACCATGAGTTAAACTACGTTTTTGAGACTGTCTTTGGTAGAAGTGGTGTTGGTTGACTGTTTTAAGAACATTAAAAACTTGATTTTCACCACAGGTGGTCTTTAATAACTTCTGAATTGTCATTGTTTCCTCAACCACTTGCCCCTCAGACTACCCCGTCCGCAGCTTTGATGGCCGGAAGCGTATGATCCTCAGCACCATCTCCTGGATGGGAGGGAAAAACCCCTTCTTGGGCATCGCCTACATAACGGTGGGCTCTATCTGCTTCTTCCTCGGCGTGGTGCTCCTCTTCATTCATCACAAATACGGAAACCGCAATAACAGCTCTGATATTCCCAATTAAGCTCGTGGAGTGCATGCGTTCTGTCAGGCGTTTGAATGGCATGCTTCGATTCTAGTTTATCATTTTATTGGTGCAAGACAGCATTTGACCACTTGATGTTCAGCTTATTTATTTCTCAAGATAAAGATGTTGTGTCCACTTCAAAGTTTTATTTTTAAATTTTTATTCTTTCTGATATGGTTGATGGTTCATTTCAAGCATGATTTCACCATTGATTTGCACATGTCTAAGCCTGAGGTTAGCGTGATATTTATGGAAGCCGGTTTCCATCACGTAATAAAAATGGTTATTGCTATTTTTATTTTGTAATTCTGACCTTTTTTTACTGCGAATTAGAGGTTCAAACTCGAAAAATTATGCAATTTCCTATTTTATGTCCTGGTGGAAACAAGCTTCCGCACATATTCCAAGATAGATCCGATATACGAAGTCAAAGTTGTATAAATTTAAATGAATGTATGTTTACATTTCATAGAAATGGTTTTTACTTTTAGCCAAAAGTGATGTTTAAACAGGGCATTGTTATATGACTACTTTATTTTTTAAGTTTAATATAAAAAGAATAGTTTCACTTTTCCTCTGGTCTTCATAAAGTTGAATACTGAATCTGTGTTTTACTTCTGAACTTCTATGTAGTGCCAGATTGTGGTAGGGATCTTTTTGAGGACTGTTACATTCTTCTTGTTTTCTGGAGATGCTTGTGCTCTTTGCTGTGTGTACTTCAAGGCTTGCAACAAGGACCAAATGTTTAATTCTGTGTCTATTTAATTGAAACAGTCTTGGGCTTATTTTGGCTGTCGTGTCTTTAAGTGTCATTGTGTTTTAAGCATGTCTGCCTCTAACAAATAAGCACTTTAATGTGACAAGCCATACATTTTTGGTCAGTTTTTAGGAGTGTGTGCTGCGTTGTTGGGCGAATAAAATGTCTAATTACTGAACTTCCTGAGAATTTCTCATTATTATGTGTTAAAGTAAACGTTTTTTATCTGCTGGAGGCATTGCCAAATGAAGATAAGCTGAAGACTGAATTAACAAGTTATCATGTTAAATCAATACAGGAAAAAAAAATCTCTTTTTCTCTCTTTTGTAAGTTTGGATGAGAGTCAGCTTTTATTTTACTTCTAAGCAATTGACAGTCTAACCCATATTGTAAAAAATCATCAATTGACAACTTAAAAAAGTGAGAAAACCTGTTGCCTTATTATTAAATAAATAAACTTCGTAAAATGCGTAATTGAAAATTCAGTTATGTGGAATTGTCAAAATTATTTGACTTAATTATAAGGCAACAGGTTTCCTCACTTTTTTAAGTTGTCAACTGGTAACTTTACAGTACAACACTAAAACAATTTTGAAAGTTTAGTTGAACCTAGAAAATATACTGTATATATAATTGTTTTTTAAATGACAAATATTTAAATATTACCATAAAATTATAAAAAGCATACAGGTTTGGAATGACATGGTGGTGAATAAACAATCACATTTTCTAAACGCCATTTAGTTTTTAAAATGCATTCAGTCCATATGGAGATCAATTAATCATTTGCAAATTATGAAAATTGTCAACTTGTACAGTAAAAACAATCTCGAGTGTGTTATTTTAAAAGATGCTTCATTGTTCTCGAATTAAATGTTTTTTTTAGACATTCCCCAGTACATGATATTTTTTGTGAGGCTAGCTAACTGTCAAAAAGTCACTGTTAAAGAACACCAGCGAACAATGAACCTTTGGTCTAATAAAACATTGGCACATAGTCAACCGTTCTCTGAGATTTGTTTTCATAATAATCGAATGTAAAGAGTTTTATCTCTAAAAACTGTTTAACGTATAATGCTATTAATTGGGGCATTGACTAAGTAAAAAGAAATCGCTAGTTTATACCACTAACAAGGCTCAAAATAGCCCCACACTAACACAGTAACATAATAAGGGTCCTTACATGCAAAACGAAGCATTGAGAACTTTGTAAAGTGTACAGACCATTTAGATACGTTAAATAGACAGTTCACTTCATACACAGCAGGAGCCATCTTAGGAAATAGTCTCGATAAGTCGATCCGTGAACGCCGTTCATACAGTTCGCTGAACTTCATACAGTTCAGATCACTCAGCACGGCGTTCGCAGTTTGACTTATCGAGACTATTTTCTAAGATGGCTTCTGTCTGTACGCGAAGTGAACTGTCTTTATAACGTATCTTCTCATCTCTATCACTAAAGAATGTAGATATACAACTTAAGCAGCACTGAAAGAGCTATTTCTCATTCATTCGTTTCCTTTATTAGTCTTCAAAACGAAAACATTAAACCCAAACTGGATCAGTAAAAAGGAGCAGCAATTGAGGGCGGCATCTAAAGCTGTGAATAATCTGATGGCCTCTGGCTTCTTCATTACACCAGAAGCAACATCTGTTCTCTCCTGCTGATGGGATGTTGGACTGCCTGAAAAACCGGCTGCTCGAATAGGCCCGGAGGAAAAGTGCTGGAGTACCAATCTGCTTCCCAACCCCAGAGCGCTCTTTCACTCCCTCTCACACCACCAGACCACGGCTGTCCTCACACACATCAGGGCCGATTGAAATGCTCTGCTGTGAGATAATGACGAACACCGCAGCTTACGAGATTGAACGCTGTATTCCTGTTTGTCTGTTCGCGAACGCAACTGGCTTTTAAAGGGAATGGGAGATGAGACTCGAATTGGTTTATGGTTATGGTGGTTTATTGGTTTATGGTTAACTCATGGTACAGCAGTGAAGTTTCCTGATTATTACGCAGGAATGAGAGTATAGTTCCCTGCATATCAGCCTAGAAAATCGCAACTTTACATTTTCCGTCTGTCTTAGTGCACGATGTAACTATAGAAGAGTCAAGTTTTAAATAGGAAAAATATCGAAACACTTTGGTAATTTTTTCTGAGAAATGCTAATAGTCTTGTGCACTTCAATGATGTATGCTAAGCTATGCTAAAAGTGGTACCGCCAGAACCGGAGATCACCTGAATGGATTCAAAAAAGGTAAAACTCAACAGTTTAACTCTGGGGGAGTTGTAAAATAAGCCTATTTCCAAAAAAAGTGGAGTATCCATTTAAGAGAATAGGGACAACACTTTTAGACCATGCACCAGGTACGCCGATCATTTCCCCCGGCGTTAAACTAGCAAAAGTGGATTAGGAAACCTCCTAAGTTCACTTGCGCTGTGCGCTTTAGACCATGCGCTTAGATCATTAAATAGGGCCCTATGTCTGTCAGATCTTCCATCTGCTGATGTTACCTACAGCGCTCTGAAAATTGCCTACCCTTCCTTTAAAGGAGAACTCCGGGGCAAAATTTACCTTTGGTCTAATAACACATTGGTAAATAGTCGCCCGTTCTCTGAGATTTGTTTTCATGATAATCTAATGTAAAAAGTTTTATCTATAAAAATTGTTTAGTGTATAACGCTAGTATAGGCCTATAGGGGCATTTAATAAGTAAAAAGAAATCGCTAGTTTATACCACTAACAAGGCTCAAAATAGTCCCACACTAACACAGTAACATAATGAGGGTCCCTACATGCAAAATCTGGTTGCTGATTTCGTGGATTTAATTTTAGACATGTGCGTGTGATTACACGTAAAATAAAGACGGAGCGTTCAGTAATGTTACTATTATCTAGCAATTTATTTTCCTGCATATCATACAGCGACAATATCTTAACTCATAATGTAACAAACAACAAACCGTATTATTTACCCGAAGCACAAGACCCTGGGCACAGTCGAAAACTGGTTGCTTCCCAAATAGCAACACCTGTGTCTCAGTTTCCCCCAAATTAAAAGACTTACCCGGGCTGACCCGAGATCCTAGCGCCCTAGTGGCACAGCAAAAAATTACACATACAAAATAAATATGGCTCATACACTCCAGCCCCTAATTGCATCTTCCAGAGCAATTGCACCAAAATCAAAAAGAGCCATAAATACAGAAAATATAGCCCACTGTAAACCAATTACTCTTTAGCTTCATTAAAGGTTCTCTGAGCGATGTGGGGCCAAAACATTTTTTGTCACATACATCAAACGTCTCCTCACTATCGGCTAGCTGCCTGTCCCCTGAACACACTGTAAAAAAACGTGGTCTCTGTAGACACCACAGGCTCCACAAACGGCAACAAAAACAATCATGTCTCACCCGGACCACGAAACCTAACAAACAGTGTTCCAGCCAATCACTGGCAAGAAGTATTTGAGGGTGGGTCTGGGGGGTTAGTGCGCGTGCACATGAAGGGGGTGTGTGTGTGAAGGAGAGCGAAGCATCAGAGGGAAGTTTGAAAAATGACCGACACACGACCAAAGAAGAGACGTCGTTCTGAAGAACAAATTAAAAAGAAGATGGAGTCGGATAAAGAATGTGCGAAGTTCCGAATTTACATCGGTAGCAAAGCTTTTGAACGATGGCGAGAACTCCGGCGGCCAAAGGGCTTCCAGTCTGACATTCAGGTTGCTCTGTTTTTGCTTGACAGGTGGGTAACGTTAAATTGTGTTTTTTTTCTTCTAAATTGACGCTTATGTTCGCCAAACCCACACAAGGGTATAATTAGCTAGAACTATGCACGTTCACAATTATTTCAGGAAGCACGGAAGGGAGGGGGAGGAGATGAGATGAGATGCAGAGGAGGGAGGGTCTAGCTAGCCTCCGATTTGTTTGAAAATATTCAGGACATCAACACCCAGGATCGCTTTGAGAACCTTTAAGCAAGCATATTTTAGTAATGGGTCGTTCAATTATGTTTGTCTTGGTCTTCAAACGAACCACACGTACCAGACCTCTCTTATCAGGGAAGGTTTCCAGGACTCTTCCTAGCATCCATGACCCACGTGGCGCAGTGGAGTCCGCAACCATGACCAGATCTCCAGGAACAAAATTCCTCTTCTCCTGGTGCCATTTTTGACGCTCCTGTAAAAGCGGTAAGTACTCGCGGATCCACCTCTTCCAAAAGAGATCCGAAATGTACTGGGTTTGTTTCCACCTTCTCCTTGCGTAAACATCACTTTTGTTGAACAATCCTGGTGGGAGAACTGGTTTTCCTTTGAGTAACAGCAGATGGTTTGGTGTCAACGCCTCAAGATCGTTGGGATCCTCTGACAGTCTTGTGATGGGGCGATCGGTAAGAATAGATTCAGCCTCACAGAGCACGATATGGAACCCTTCATCATCTAAGGTTTGCTGCCGGAGCACAGATCTTCCTAATCATCCATATCAAGCTCTCCCATGCGCCACCATGATGTGACCCAGTCGGAGGGTTAAAGCTCCACTTAATTCCTTTTTTAGACATGGCTCTTCCAATGCGGTCATGATTCAAAGAGGTTAAAGCTTCTCGCAACTCCCTTTCTGCACCCACAAAGTTGGTACCGTTGTCAGATCTTAAGTGTGCAACTTGTCCTCTTCGACAGATGAACCGTCGCAATGCGTTGATGCACGAGTCTGTGTCAAGAGAAAAGGCCAATTCCAGGTGCACGGCCCTGCTTGTCATGCAAGTAAATACTACTCCATACCTTTTCACGATGCTACGGCCTCTTTTTAGGTCAACTGGCCCAAAGTAATCTACGCCAACGTTAGTAAATGGCGGGAGATCAGGAACAACTCTCTGTTCTGGGAGGTCTGCCATTTTTGCTCACCAGGTTTTCCACCATGGAGCTTGCAAATGAGGCATTGTGATATGATTTTCCTCACTGCAGCAGGTCCACCAGTATTTTCTCCTTGTAGTGGAAAGAACATGGTTTCTACCTCCATGTCCAAGTTGTAAATGGACATGACGGAGGATAAGATCGGAGATATGTTGTAATATCTCAGGGATTGCTGCCCTTTTCAGCCATCCCCCAACTCGAAGAAGTCCTCCTTCAAGAACCGGATCCAATTTGAGAAGGCTGCTACTTCTCGGCACTTGTGACTTTCC